TTTGTAACACACTACTGTGATACTAGTTGTGCTTGGATAGTTTGATAGTTTCGTTTTTCTTTTTGTTTTCTTTTTGTACAAAGCAACCTGCCATGGGCTAGTAGATGAAGTGGCATAAGCAATATTAAGCATCTCAAGATTCTCAACCCACTAGCCTGCCGCCAGGCACTCCGGTCTATTGGTGGGGACACGGGGGAGCAACACCTGCTTCGTTGATTGGTTGGCGATAGTGATCTATGATGTCGGCAAAGAGGCAAGGGAGGTGTGTTATGAAGGGTCTGCAGAGCCAATTTGTTGGTGGCTGTGTGGGGAGCTGGGCAGTTTAAACCTTCAAGCGGATGGTTTTCTAGAAGGTAAGGAAGGTTGAGGGATGGATCACCACGAGCCCTTGCAGGCCGGGTGGGTGAAGGGAATGGGCTACCTTTTCAGGGGTGCAGTGGCTGCAGGCAATGATAATTTGAGTTGAGTTTTGTATGGGTGTTGTTGGGTGTCTCTGCTCCCAACAATACAAATGCATTGATCTTTTCGTGAGAGAGGCAAGGAGGAGAGTGCTAGAAGGCCGTTGCAAGTCACTTGGGTGAGGACTGTCGGATGGAGCTTGGGCAGGCAAAGGGGATGGATCGCCTCTTCTAAGTGAGATAAAGAATGCTGCGCAGCCTCGCAGGCAAGGGAGTTTCAACACTTTTTGTACTTGAGACCTGCTAGGCTCCTTTTCCTTTAGATCTAGGATGCTCCATGACGGTAGGGGATATGCTGCCCCTTTTCAGTGAGTCCTACCAGGAGCAAGCCAAATGTGCCCAATGATAGTGTGAGTTGGGTCTCACCGTCTCAGTAACGAGGCTATGATGCCCTAGGATGATAGTAGGATCTGATCCGCCTAACTTTCTTCCCGCTCTTTGTATGGGGCCTCAATGCCACCTCATACCGAGGATCGTATATCCTTACAGCCTTACAGGGGCTGGTAACCAGGCCACCCTAAATTTTTGGATCTTCATGGAGTTTGTATCATAATCGGCGTTGGTGCTCACTGCTCAGTTGCATAGTTAGAGGGGTAATTGTTTTGTAACTGAACTTTGTTCCCTTCATGCATTCGCGGTCCATCACAACCATTCCCTTCCTCACGCTTCAATTTTGCTTGTTGACAGTTGCTGTTGCCTGCAATCTTCAACTGTCACGGTCTTAGCCTTTCTTGCTTCTTTCCCCTTCCGCTTCATATTGGTGCCCGTGCATCTTGTCTTGGCCCGTGTGTCCCTTTTCCAATATTTTCCCCAACTTCGATTCTCATTGGCCAAGGTGATGCATCCAGGACCGATGCGTGAAGTGTGGCTAAGTCCCCCACAGACCCACGCCACGTTGTGGTTTAGGTATGTAACTCACAAGGCACTCCCTAATCCCTTCCTCTCTGCATACTTGCCCAATCCCTCTTTTCTTGCATGTGCATCATAGTCCCTGCAAGCTGCAGCTATAAATTTCGAAAGCACAACTTTATCTCTCTATTCTACTTGGAAGCTAGTGCGATCAGGAGAGTCAGCTAGCTGATTTTAAATCTATGGTTGAGTGTGAGGGAGAATGAATGGGTCGAAAAAGCCTGGCGAGCTGGCTGCAATTGTGTGGGGTCGGTGCATCGCTGCACAGGACATGGGCTAATCTTACTTGCGTTTATTGGATTAAGCGGGGTGATGGCTCTGGTGATTGGGTCATGCGAGACATGGACTTTCTGCACTAGTGTGTTGAGATGTGGTTTCAAGTGTTTTTCATCTACGGAACCCTTAAGAGACGGGTTATGCTTCTGAAATTCAAGTTTGGAGCCTGGCTGCTTGGGTGTGGACACTGGATTATTTTCCTCCCTTGTTCTTCCCTCTCGTTTTTTAATGTATGCTCCTCACATCAACTGATGATGGGATGTATAATGATGTGTGCATTTGCTCAGGTTGCTGTAATCTGAAATCTTAAAGTTTGTTGTCATTATTGTTGTGACCTGGCCTTGCTCCAATTTTGGAATGATCTGCCATTGATTATGCATGCATGAACGTTTGTGTGTTCAATATCTTTGAATTAAGTAGTGAAAATGTTTGTGATTCCGATATCCACGAGTCCACGATCATGTTTATCCTCTGGTTATGGCTTTTTCTAAGATGCTCGCCTTATTCAATTCGGCTTCGTCCCATTCCTTCTCTCTTCCCTGGGCCACTGTTCCCAGCCTCTACTCCTTTCCGGATGAAACAGACTGTTCGGGTGTTGTAGCCTTGTAGGATGTGGGTCTATGACCATTTACACAAATTTCCCCCCATATTCCCTTCTCCTCCCTTATCTCGAGCTCATGACGATTGTCTGGTCCACCGGCTTTTGGTCCCCAACCTTGTGTTGTGAATGTAGACACAAGGAATTTGATTCAATGCCACGGCTTCACCTATGAGACCCGCACTGATGAGGACTATCAGGCTAAGCATACTCCACTGACAGCATCCACCTCGGACACCAACCTCTATAAAACCCGTCCACTCCACACAGAAGCCCACCGAGACCCGACATATATGTGATGTTCAACCTCAAGCCCTGTGCTGTCTTCCGGTCGGAGTGGTTAAAAATGTGGAGCAGGCCTTGGAAAAACAGCAAAATGAGGTGTGCCAAGGATTTTTCAAAAAATTGAGTGTGGGGACACAAACGGAACTGAAATCCCCCGTGTGGTTCCAGTTTTTGTGAGAAATGACCATAGCCTCACGGGAAAGAAATGGTGCGCGCTGCTTTCAAACGTTCGCCTAATCCAAAAAGTATCTATGAACTTCCATGCGGCCTACTTGGCATCTTTTTGAATGGAAAGGCGGGGGTATGCATGTGTGATCTAGTTTCCCAATTAACTCCTGACGCCTTCGTTACAGAGCTCGGAATCTGACGTGGACGACCTCATCCTGGTTGCTCTTTCCCTGTCTTCGTCCTCGCCGCGTGCCCGGTAGTGGAACCCCTTTTCCCAATAATGCTCAGTGTGGCGGCAATCGCTAAACACTGTACACAGAGTGTTGGGCCAATGAGGTGCCACCATCGTCCACGGGATGACTATGAATTCGTTAAAACGCAACAATAAGGAGTACGGGGGAAAGTGGGTATCAATAATGACAAAACCAGTGCCTACGAAGCTCGAGCACTTCGTTTCGGGAGGAAAATAAAAGCGCCTCCCGATCTTGGCGAGAACTTCTCGCACGTCCCACTCACCGACACGTGTCCTTTCATCGTTGTACGGGAACGGGCATGGTGGGGATATGGGAAGTCGACGCCCAGTCGTGTCAGGGTAGTCGGTCCACATGGCATAAACAAGGCTGATTGCGTAGGCCTACTCAATCTGTTATTCAATCAAAAGAATAAACAACATTATGTCCTCATTATCTTCCATCCATCATGCAAGCCGATCCTAAGTGTGAGTCTGATTCAATCAAGGAGACAGTCATCATTTATTCGTGTGAGCAGTCAAGCATGCATTGGCATAATCATATCAGAATCTAAGTAAATCCCCGTCGTCATGCAACATTTCGCATCGATGCATATATCATATATGTAAAAGATTCCGCATGCACGAACCATCAGACGCCAAGGATCACGGGAAGGGGCGGGGTAAGATCACCCAAGCTCGCCGGTCTCTCAAATTCAACGATACTCATCCTTGCAAGATCCGATTGAATTCAACGAGACAAGCGGCGTGGGAACTCAGGGGCTGGTGGGGACAAGGGAATCATCAGAACATTCAGACGTTCATAAAGTAGATATGAGAGGAGAAAAGAGAGAGAGAGAGATATAAAGTGGTCTAAGATATGAGCACACAAGTAAGCCCAAGGAGAAATCGGCAGTCCACCGTGGATGTGGCTTCCAAATTTCAAAATAAGAGGAAGAACCAAAGATCAAGGCGCATAAGCCTTCTGCTCTCTGATTATGGCCCCGGGCCAGTGCCCTCACTGTGAACGTGACCGACACCGGTCACTTGAATGTGAACGGCCGGTCATTT